GCAAAGGCAGACGGAAAACATTCTGGAAGGAAACCACCCGAAGGACAGAAAACAGTCCTGGAAGGGCGTCTCCCTTAGAGGAGCCTGGAGGAACTTAGATTAGACGCAAAACCAAAGGAAACGGGAACCAGGTTTCAGAGCCCGAGACAAAAGGAGGCTCAGCACAAAGCAGGGACCAGAAGGGGACCGCGGCCAGTGGGGAACAGGGGCGCACCCGAGGCCCAGCTGATGTGGACCAAGGGCTTCGGGTCTCACAAGGACGGGAGAGTAAAAAAAAATAAAAATAAAAAAGCGACAGAAAGAAGGTAAATGACTCGGGATCCACGCACAGATGACTCAGCACAGGATCATCGGGGTCCCTAAAAAGAAAGTTTCAAAAGCAGGACAGGAGCCCGGGCCCGTTTGGCTCCATGGTTAGAGCACCAGCCCGCGGACTGGAGGGTCCCGGGTTCGATTCCCGGCCAAGGGCACGTACCTCGGTTGCAGCCCCGATACCCCGTCCTGGTGGGGGGGGGGGGCGCGTGCAGGAGGCAACCCATCGATGTCTCTCGCGCTCCCTTCCACTCTCTCTGGAAAGCGGTGGAAAAACCACCTCAGGTGAGGCTTAAAAACAACAGAGCAGCGGACAGGAAGCCTAGTCTGGACGATCCCCGCTGCTCCCGGCTCCTCTCCAGGCTCTGACGTGGCGCCAGGGCTGTGGGAGGCGGGCACCCGTGCGAGGGGCACCCATGGGAAGGGCACCCAGGACTTCTTGGCTCTGTTTTGGAAGCATTTGTGTTTTTTGCCACTCAAGTTATTTTGAAATGAAAAAATAAAAAACAAAGAAAACATGTTTTAAATGCTAATAATAATAAAATATACTATTCATTTAGGACAATAAAGTTATAATTTTACACTTTCTGTAGTTATTCTATATTATTGTATAACAAAAACAATTATCTTTTAAAACAGGGTGAGTGCAATGGGGGCCCAGGGGTCTGCTGAGCTGAAGGGACCCAAAGGGGCACCCTGGGGCCCACCAGTAGCTTTGGGGTCCACTGTGTGTCCCCAAAACCTCCTGTCTGATGGGTCCCTGACTGGTGCCCACCTGATTCAGAGCAGGGCTTCCCTTGCCAGGCCCCACACCTGCCACCCCAATTGCTCCTCAGAGCAAACCACACAGATATGCCCGCTCAGGGGTGCCCGGGCCCCATCCTCACGTGCAGGCTGCTCTCCCGCTCTCGTCTCCAGCCGGTCGGCGGTCCAGCCCTCCTCCCGCCCTCCCGGCTCCCCTGCCGCCCTAATTTAATTCCGTCCATCCTCAGACAAGGAAGCGTAACTGCTTCAGGAAAAGCCCTTGCTTACAGGAAGAGCAAGTCTACGCCTGCCCAACAGCAGCCTTTAGACAGCACGAGGCCTCTCAATAGGTCCCCCCATTAAACTTCGGCCCCCACCCAAGACAGGCTCCCCAGGAAATGCACAGCCCCTCTCAGTGGAACTGAGCACGCGGGGCGGGCTTTGAGGCGGGCACACCAGGGTTCGGTGCCAGGTAGGGAACAGCTCTGCCCCTGCACTTGGCTGCCCGGCTGGACAGGACCCCCTGACTGTCCAGTGGCTTGGGGTCCTGGAGGAGCTCCTGAGAGCTGAAGTCTAGGCAATGCGGGGGCCCCTTTCCCACTTGGACTCGGTGCAGACCAGGCAACAGAGATGATGGCCGCCTTTGCGCCCATGAGGGGTGCCAGTCTCTCCTGCTCCTGAGCGCTGTGGCGAGGCAGGTCGATCCTGGCCCTCTCTTTTTTTTAGAAAATATGTTGATTTCAGAGAGAAGGGAGAGAGAGAAACATCAATGATGAGAGCCATTGATTGGCTGCCTCCTGCACGCCCCCCACGGGGGATCAAGGAGCCCACAACCGGGCATGTGCCCTGCCCAAGAATCGAACCATGACCTCCTGGATCCTAGGTCGACACTCAACCACTGAGCAACCCCAGCCGGGCTTTTTAAAAAAAATCCTCACCTAAAGGTGTTGTTCCCGCTGCTTTTCAGAGAGAGTGGGAGGGGGAGAGAGAAACATCCATGTGAGAGACGCACATAGATTGGTTGCTTCCTGCATGCGCCCTGACTGGGGCCAGGGATCGAGCCTGCAACACAGGCGTGTACCCTTGGGTGGAATCGAACCCTCGACCCTTCAGTCTGTGGGCTGACGCTCCAACCATTGAACCAAACGGGCTAGAGCAGATCCTGGCCCTCTCAGATGGCAGCTGAGCACTGGCTGAGCACCTACTAGATGGGGCCCCCGAGCTGCACCCAAGGGAGTTAGGTGACTAATTCAGTGTCCTGCATGGTCACTTCTCCTCTGAGGGGCCCAGGGTTCTCAAACCCACGTTTGCTGCTGGCCATTGAGCTCCAGCTGGGCAGAGGCCTGCTGACAGGGAGCCGAGAGACTCCTAAACCAGAACCGCTGAGCTAACTGCAGCCGTATATTTATCCCAGCACTGCTGATAGAATCGTCAGGGCCCATTAATAACCAGGCACTCGCAGGCGAGGGGAAAGGTCGGGAGTGAAGGCTCATAAATCGCCACGGAGCCCATTAGAGGGTGAACTTGGGAGCCCCACCAGGCCCTTGTCTGATGCGAAACCTCAGCCCTGACTGAGCTAAAGGACACACAGGCATCCGGCAGGGTAACACCCACTTGATCAGGAAGCTTGGGCCTGGAAACCGGTCTGAGAACCACCCTGGGGCTTCTCTGAGGACAGAAGGTACCGGGCACCCTAAGTGCACTCCTGACCCACAGACCCTGCAGCCCCAGGGCCTCGGTACGTAAATCGAGGGGTGTGTCTGGCACCTCTGTACCTTCACAACTCAACACCCCGTAGCCTCTGCTGACCTGACAGTTCTATTCTCGAGCTTGATGGCTCCTGCTCTGTCCCAACAGCCTATGCCCACAGTCAGGAGAGACGCTTGGCCATCAACCTGCCCAGAGATCAGCCCCCTTCCAGCCCCCTGAGATGCAGAGACCTGGACGAGACAGTTGAGGCACGGAGTCGCCACACAGCTCCCCACCTGCTGGACACTGAGGCCATGACCCTCACCGACTGGCTGCAGACGCCCAGGACAAGCTGTCCTCACAGCCCAGAGGGAAAGTATCTGAGTCCCACATGCCACTGATGTTGCAGGAAATACACCTCCCGACGCCTAGTTGCCAGCAGCTAATTTGCTAAGCGGCAGCTAAGTGCTGGAGCACTGAGTGGTAATTTCTCATCTCCAGGACGCACCCTCCCCATCTGGGCAGACACCCTCCATTACGAATGTAACTGGGACTCAATTGCCTGGAACCCCATTTTTCATCTCCTGGCAAAAGACAGCATGAGACAGAGAGAAAAAGAGACGGGCTCCATGGAGAAGACATGCCCCACAGGGACCTGGTAGACGACCCTCCAGGACACACAGCAGGTGACCAGTCAATACTGGCCTCAACGATTTTTCTAAAATTCTGGACCCAATGTCATTGGAGCAGGTCAGGGGGAGGGGAGACACACAGGAAGGGGTCCCCATGTCTCTGGCCCCCTGGGGTGTCACTGGAGAGCAGGACCCGGGGGAGCAGTGGGCACAGCTCAGAGAGCACACGCCTGTTTCTGCCAGGGGAGGCGGGTTCTGTTTTAGGCTCCCATCCAAACGTGGGGGAAGTGCAGTCTGTCAGTCGGGTCCCTGCCCCTGGGTTGGCTGGTGTCGAGAAGGGAGATGTGTCGCGAGGGTTAAACCAGGGAGAGAGAACGGGTATTTGACACAGGGGTTGGCTGCATGGGACAGGAAGCTGCTGAGCCAAGCAAAGGACGGGACACACAGACACACACACAGACACCCCCCCCCC